GAGAGAGAGAGAGAAAGAGAGAATGTTTAGGACGAAGAAGTAGGAAAGAAAATTATTTTCAATCAAAAGAACGCTCGTAATATTTCATCCGTGCTTGGGGAAATTGAAAAACTGTTCCGCCACCCTTTGCCACGCTCCCTCCGTGCTCCATGTAAATAAATCCGCTTCGCCGTCTGCCGTTGAGATGACGACGGGCCATAGTGGGTGGGGACAAATAAAATTTGCGCGGGGGTGCGTCTTGTCGTCCCGGCCGATAAAACCCTCGTTGGAGCGTCCGCCCGCCAATCCCGTGCGCGTCTGATAGTCACGTCCAACACGCGTCTCGGCTCGCCATTGGCCGCAAACCCGCCCAGGGGTTGGTATCGATCATCCCTCACGCAGGCCCGACGCTTTTCATATATAAAGCGGCCTCCCCAGGGACATCGTCAATAGTTGAAATTCGCGTATTCTCCGTACGGACACTGTCGTCCGAGCGATCAATCAATCGATTAATTGTAGCCAGATCAATTGAGAGATCGAGAAATCGTCGCGAAACCTGTCGCGAGTCAGCGTGCGATGAAAGAATTCCGAGAAGAAGAAGAATTTGGGAAAAAGATATAAGGGAAAAAAAATCGAGTCACATTTAGTGGCTATTAGTTGATTCGTGAAGTACAATCTTGCGGGGGATAACGACGACGACGAATGAGATTGTGAAAACGTGCATCATGGCGAATCATCATCCGTCGTACGACTTTGAGGACAGGAGCCAGAGGATCCGCCATCGGGTCGGCACCGCGTCGAGACCAGCAGATTCCACTGTGGCTTGTACCAGGTACTAGCTCACTTTCTTTTTCGGCTGTGGTCAATCGCATTGACTAATTTCAGAAATCTCTTATTCGGTACAATTAAATAATTAACTTTTACGCAATTAATTATAATAAAGAGTGGCGTTCTATTTATTGTAATATGCCGACATTTCTAATTGCGATTTCTTATAACGTTCGGCAATCATAAATATTAACGATATCGGATAATAAGATTTGTAGCGAAAGAAGAATATTGAAATCGTTATTTAAATTCCTATTCACTTTAAAGAACACGCTAATAAAGAATTAACTGGATTTTTTATCAATATGAGATATTTCCTTTCAGAAAGATATGTTGAAAGTATTTAATATCTTAAACAGAATGATTCCTTTCACTTATGTATAATTCGCTACTTGTGTGCGATTTCTTTAATAAGGGACGAACATTTTTCCTCGCCCCCATTTACTACGCGATAAAAAATTTATTAGGTAACTCACAATCAGTCTACAATTTGGTCTACAAAACTAAGAAAGTTAACAATATGTAAATAAGTCCTGCATTAAACAAAGCAAATTTGTGTAATTATTTTTTCTTTAGTGAAAATTAAATGGCAAAGTAATACGTATAATTGTACAATTTATACTGAATAAAGTTAAAGTCGTTTCTAATAGCAGAATATGTGTTTCCCAATAAATTGTAATAAAAAGGAAATAATAGAATTTTTAACATCACTTATATTACATGAATATATAATATAACAAATTTACCATATGATATTAATATAATCTAAAATCATGTTTCGTTAATATGCGATCAATTTAAACAACTTACTATAAATATTTTTTTTAAGTGCAAAAAGTGTCAGTTTTACTAGCTATAGTCAAAATTTTAATCATTAATACAAGACTTGCACACGTCAGAATATCGATATGCTTAGCAAATTTTATCTAATTTTATATTAAGGAATGATGGAGACGTCATTTTCCGTTATTACAATTACGAGTACAAAATTTGTAACAATTCTACAAACAAGTATCGAGTGGCACAAATGAGTAACGTAAACAAATTTTGTATTATAATTTTTCAGTACTCAATATTACGTGGGGCACAATAGCGATATCACTGAAGAAGATTTGGCAGAATTACCTTCATGCGTTTATGCGGGCAGGTCCACGCAGCATGTCACGCACACATCGCCACATACACATTCTCCTTTGCACTATCACATGCCAGTTTCAACGCCAGGTAATAAATGCTAAATAATGACAATAATGCGGTTATTTAATTAACGTTTCATGTTGTATAAACGTTTTGTCATATTATATAAACTCAGATCACGACGCAGAAATGAACGGCGTAGAAGAGGGTTATTATCCAAACGGTAGTCCTTATAGAATTCAAAGACACGCAGCTAATATTCGTGAGAGAAAACGTATGCTGAGGTAAGGAATTTCCAAAAGTAATTAGCAATAGAAGAACTAATCTAATCGAAACGAATATTTTACGAATTAGTCTATCTATGTGCAAAGATTTGAGATAATATCAGCAAAACAATAAATACTGAAATACATTGTATACAGAATATAAAACACATTGTAGAATCATTTCTAAAAGTAATTATAAGCAAGGTAAAAACTTATCGCTAAAATAATTCTAAAAAAAAAAATTGTTCAAAACTAATAATAAAATAAAATTAAAGCCGCGTACTTGCAGACCGTCGTTTGCTAAAGAAATCTGTTGTTTACGTTAACCGTTATATAATATTAACGTGAAACATTAATAACAAGTTAACTCGCAATGATGATGTATTGCAGAAAATCTGTAGACGCGTAAAATATTTCTCTCCTTTGTATTTTCCGCGTAAGATGCGCACGAGCGGATTGTCAGTGTGATTGCAATTTTTAGCAGCATCAACTCGGCTTTCGACGAGCTCCGGGTCCACGTGCCGACCTTTCCTTACGAAAAGAGGCTGTCGAAGATCGACACCTTGCGCCTGGCCATAGCATACATCGCACTCTTGCGCGAGGTTCTGGCGGCGAGGCTTGATCCTTTGACGTACGTTGAGAGGTGCCTTAGGGGTGAGATAAACGGCGAACGCGCCGAATGGAACACGAGCGGTACGTCTGTTTTCATAATTATCTCCGTATTTGAAAACTGTCACGACGAGCTAAAAATCATAAGCAGAAAAGTCAGAAATATGTCATAAATGGTCAAGTGATCGATGTACGCAGACTGTGACAAAAGTTACAACAATGATCTCCCAATAAATTAGAAAGACTATAGATTTCGTCTTCGCTTTGCATTAAACAATTTAATATCAAAGCATACAATTGCGCATTAAATATATATTAAGCATAATATTACGAACAATTGAAGGATTTTAATTTAATTAGAGGATTTTAATTCAATATTAAACTTAGTTGAATATCTTCTGCAGAGTGTCTTACTTAGAAATTAAGTCGCTTTCGGGTTTGAAAGGAAGATACTTTGGACAAGGTGATATTCCTTTTCTAAATTAGCAATGTACAGCTTTTTCAAATGCAGTCGAAATTTAGTGGAGCCAATTATTTCACGTTTATAAAATCAATCTTAAGAATTTCGCTTAAGCCACAAATTATCGAGGCATTAATTATTGCGACCATTATTGCAGATCTGACGGCACGCTTGTCCTGGATAAATTGGGAAAATTTAGGAGTGAACCCGAACCGTCGATCGGTGCTTACCACCCTCGCGCTGACAACCGACAATATGAATTGAATACTCTAACGAGGCACGCTTTGGCGACACTTCTTTTCTTTGTAAATACCTTTACGCCGAGACAGGGAGAGGGAGAGAAGAGAGGAAAATGCTAAACGCCTTTCCGCGATCTCGGTTTTAGTTTCATGTGCAATACGAATATTGTATTCAATATCTACGTGTACATGTAAAAGAACTAGCTAGTATAATTTAGTATTTGCTTTGAAATAAAATCGATGCTACTCGAGACTCCTGCGTGTACTCTCAACGACAATTTAGAAATTGCACATAGCGCTTTTATTTGAAATGCTGAAGCATTAGAATATCATTACGTTTGCCGTACCGCAAATTTTTTAAACATATTGATAGGCCGCGGTATAGAAAGATTCTTAGGTCTTTGGAAAGTTTCCGCAGCCAATCAGTGCTTAAAAAGTTTGTCGTACGGCAAATATATTGTAACAGTGCCTTCTTCCTTATTGCGCGGCACCTGCTCTCAATAGGATACTCTCTAAAGTTTTTGGAGTGAAAATAGAACCGTGGAGTGAATTATTTACTCTATTGAAGTGAATATTTCACTCCATGTTTCTATTTCCGAAACTTTAGAGAGTAGGAAAGCAAAGCGACCAGTATCAAACGAATTAGGGACTGCAAGACAGCGGTCACTGGACCTCGCAAAGGATGATGTTATTCGTCTGATGCAAACCTCCCTGTTTAAAATAATAGATAGAATATCATCAGATTACATTAGATTACATGCAATTTCAATGTAAATTAATAAGACTCTTATTTACAAATATTATCATATGCCTCGGTGGTCGAATTGGTGAGACGGCCGCCTAGAGTGTAGGGAGGTCCAGATTCAAACCCTGGCTGAGGTAATATCTTTCGCAATAAATTTTCTGTGTTAAGAACACATCGCCAGTCATGGTCGATTAGAAGCTTGATCATTGTTAGTTATTTGCTGGCGTCAAATAATGCTTGATGTTACAAAACATTGTCTTAAGAGTATAAGACGGCCATTTTGCTCAGACCCTAAGGACCTGAGCCAAAATGGCCGTCTTGTACTCTCAAGACAAAGTTTTATGTTTTAAATCTTTATCTTAAAGTAACGCACAATAACTGTCTTATGACTCAGGAATACAAGACAGCCATTCTGCTCAGGCCCTAACAGTGTCCTTCCGCCTAATGATACAAAAGCTCCACGTTCGCTAGACTGTCAATTCTTCCCGTCCATTGGGTTCGTGCGTGCGTGCGCGCAACGACGTGGTGAACCGTGAAATATCTGAACGGCGACACTGTCGTGACAGCCGATCAGTGCTTTGTTTTGCGAAAACATCTCTCATCCCGTCCGCGTCCCTGGAGCTTCTACTCTTCAGTTCCGATTGATATCGATCGCCTCGTCTACTCCGGGTAACGCTTACAATTTTATCGTACGTCCGACAAAGGGCCTTGGGAATTTCCCGAGAACTCGCCAACCCGCCTTCCAAAGTGTGAACTCCATATTTCTTTCGCAACAAAAAAAGACAAGCGTCCCCCGGTAAAAGACGCCGATAATATTTCACGCGGATCCCGTAACTCGGCCGAATCTACGGAGGGAAGCGAACGAAAACGCAAGGTACGCTTATTTCCTAAGCTGCACTTTTAAGATTATGTTTCACGTGTCGATTTTTACTCTTCTCCCATTTTTTATTCACGAACATGCAATTCTCATTCTAAATACAGCGCAGTAAAAGGTAGTCGATGTAAATTAAATAAGTTTGTCTTACAGCGATTTGCTGATTTATCGTAGAGCGAAAGATCTACTTGAAGTTACAGCGATTCAATCAAATATCAGAACAGTAAAAAGTTGGCGTAATAAATATTTATCTTTTAGGATTCAATATTATACGATATCATGGTACTTGTATACTAGAGCGCAGCCTACGAAAGACAACAAGTTGTGGGCACTTGAGGAAACATCCCTAGTAGCGCAGTGCATTGGCCGATGTTGTCCAACGTAAACCCAATATTGGCCACGGAATAAATGTAAATATTGCACTATAATAATTCTATAATATTAGATTTATATTGGATACGAGTTGGCCAGTATTTAACAATGTAATAAGAATATTGGTCTAATGTATTAATCTACTCTTCTAATCAGAATCCTTCAATGTCGCCAGCGGTAAATTAACGTCAGAGTTTTCTTGAGGCATATGCCTCGGTGGTCGAATTGAGTTGGACCAATATTGGGAATACTAGATTTACATTCTTTCCCAATATTGTGCCAATACATTGTGTTATTAGGGATGTCATTCCACAAAAGTGCCAGTGTTTAAAAAATCGACTGCAGAAAAATACGCTGCACGAGTAAATTAAAAAAAAAAGTACTCGCCAAGTATTACACAGTTTCATGGTTTTTAATTTTCTATGCGAGGTGAGATCCAATATTGTCCGGTGCTTTCAGAGCAAAATGAGCTCTGTTGAGCTGTTTCGTAAGAGTTTTCATATAATTCGCTAGCCTCTCGCGCTGTTACCACAGATATTTTGCCAAGACAGATTTTGCTAAACTTAATGTAAGCTGTAAAATGATTTAGATTAATGGAGGTACTGCGGAAGAACGCATTATCCGAGCAGTGCTCCTTCGATATCCAAGAGATTAAGGAAATACCCACGAAGAGCGATTCGTCGATTGGCGAGGACCAAAACGAGGATATCACTAAGAGATACGTTTCCTGTTACGATTTGATTGCGAGCTCGGCGCTGATGGATCAGGACAAAGAGTATCCTAGAAATGCGAAGACGATCGTGCTGGAGCAGAATCAAGCGAGCGATCGCGGCAGGGTTAACAATGTAAGTCGCCGTGTGATCGAGTTAAGCGACAATGACTCCAAGATGATCCTTCGGCGGCAATTTGGGGAGATGACAGAATGCAAGAATTCGAATATGCAAAGCGGCACAGGGAGTTGTGAAAATATGGAAATTCTGCAAAAGCTACCGCCGGACACAATCGTGATACGACAAAAGGCGAAGTCGGAGATGGAGGACAGCGACTACAGGGAGTCGAATAGTAACAGTGGCAGCTCGACTTCCGGCTGTGCGGATGTTAAAACGAAGGGGATTTCACGAGCTTTCAGAAACAAAACGTGAGCGGTATTAAAATATGCTTACGTAATAGACTCCTAAAAATTTATTACACTTGCCAGATAAAGGGGAATTAATTACACGAGATATGATTTATATATTATGTTCAAAATTTGTAACATTATTGCTTCACCTGTTTAGTCTGAAAACGATGGAGGTGAGACGAAATCCCATGCGAGTGTCCAAAAGAAATATGGCTGCGAATTTCTCACGACCTAAGCAACGACTGTTGGCCAACAGCAAGAAAGAGTTTTATTCAGATTACGAGGTCGGGAAACGCGTAAGATCGTCCACAATGCCGTACATGAACACTAGATCTGTTACTCGAAAGATGTACACCGTAGGTGCTACTTACCAGGCGCCTACCAAAAAAGATGAGACGGAATGGAAGGAGTGGCCCGTGCATGGAATGCACGAGAGACCGGTCTATCATCCTCAAGTAAAATTACCTTCCTCTATAATATAATGTCATTATTTATATTCTTCACTGTATTCGTTAAATTATATATTTGTTCTTGAAGAACTTGTAACTTACTAGTTGAATCTCATCAAAATTATTGAAGTCATAAACTATTAGAAAGTTTGCGTTGATTAACAATTTCTGAAATTCTTTTTGTCTTAGTCATGTAACTACATCAAAATGTCACGAAACTTTGCTGTTTTTTTATCCTGAAGCTATGTAACTTATTATGTTTTATCGATGTTAAATAAATAATGTATTTCAAAGAAATAAATAGAAAACTATAATTATATAATTTCAGTAACTGCACTCTATGATTTTTAGATAGACAACTTACTTTAGTAAAGTTTTCCTTTTGAAAAATTAGGAAAAAAATACATTTCTTAACAATTTTTACTAAAAAACAAGAAATCAACTTCACCTTCATGAAAGAATCTGAATGATCTTATTTAGTACATCATACATTTATCGATGTTAAATAAATAATGTATTTCAAAGAAATAAATAGAAAACTATAATTATATAATTTCAGTAACTGCACTCTATGATTTTTAGATAGACAACTTACTTTAGTAAAGTTTTCCTTTTGAAAAATTAGGAAAAAAATACATTTCTTAATAATTTTTACTAAATTATGTTTCCAGGCTGGTTTAGCAGTGGAATATTTAGGAAGATACTTTACTAGTCTTGATGGGTTATCTTATTGCGAGATTATCAATGAGCCTAATATAGAAGTGGTTTCTGTCGATCCGCATTGCGATGGACGGGTCTCTTCGGCCGAAAGGAAGGGGTCAAGGGGTAAGACAAGAATGAAAAGCAAACTTCCGCCGAACACTAAAGTTGCGTGGAATAGTTATCTCTCCGCGGACAACAAATCCTTTGAGACCTGCATGCATGAAAGCCTTCATTGCGTGTTCGGTTATTGTTCGCAAGTTATGACGCCAGTTTACAAGAAAACTGTGGAAGGAAAGATGACAAAGCTGACCTCTGCGGCCAAGACGAGCTCTTTAGAATCGGCGAAGGAGCCAACAGACCTCAAAAGTAACGTCACAATTTCTTCAAAGAATGTCACTAAGCTTGCAGAAGAGACAAAATTATTGGAGGCTTATGCTATCGCCATGGCACAAAGCATTCAAAATAAAAGCACCGCCAATAGCACGAATGATCAAAAAGCCACCTCGACTGTCTCGTCATCTTCGGCAACGTATTTACCAGAAGCGCAGAAATCGACCGCGGAGCTCAGCAGCTCGAAGACTGCTTCGCAGAATGGAGGAGCCATCAGGATGAATTTGAAACAGATTATTCGAGGCGCTCCAAACAGCTCTCTAATCTTGTTAAGGAGTTCGGCCGCGAGATCTACGAGCGTAGCAACCGCAAAGAATGTATTTAACTCGGCCAAGGTGGAAGATGCGTCCAACGACGAGACGCTAATGGGAATGTCGTCGATCTACAAGAAGCTGATGTTTACGAAAGAACCGGTTTCGAAATGCGAAAAATCGCCAGTGAGTAACAACGTGCACAGCTTGAAGAGGTACGCCATGAATACACCAGAGCACACGACGAAGAAGACCTTTCTCGAGGATCAGTTGGACAACAAAAAGACTGTCCAGGTCATGAAAGAGGCACGCGAAAACAAAAGTCTTGATCGCAAAATGAAAATTCATAGAGATTCAGAAGGCAGAATATCTATGACGAGTTCCAGCAAGAACGTCGCGTGGGGCACCAACAAAACTTCGGAGATTGCTAGAATCTTATCGGAATACAACAAAGGCACGTTGAGGAAGTCCACGGCACAGAATCAAATTTATAGCTCGAGAGATACGAAGACAAGCTTGACGAATCCGAACGTCAAAAATTTACCGAAAAACCTCTGGCAGAAGAGTGCGAGGATTGACGAAAATCAACAATTCGTGTCTAATTCAAATATGAGCTTTGAGCTCCCGCAGGGAAAGTGGAAAAGGCTTCATCTAATGCTGGAAAAGACCAAGGACGGTCCGATTACCGGTGGCAATCAAAACCCACGGAAGAGCTCGTCGACAGTAGAAAATCATAAAGTTTCATTGAGAGATCAACAAGTGCACTTAGGCACGTCGAATTATATAAGAAAGAATTCTATCGATTCTCGCAAGGATCTGAACGAACATGAAATTATCATGGTTGATGTAAAGCCGAAGGAAAAGAATTCGGAATATTCTAAAGATGAAACCTCGGAGGAGACCTCGAAGATAGGGTCACTGCAAGAGCTTTTGGAGAACACTGCAATCTTATACTGCGCTGCCAATGGAGTTCATCAAGACGATCTGTCAAATTATATCGACACACTCGACAGCAAGCAAAGTATTCAATGGCTAGAGAGTTGCAATAATTCTGTCATATAGAAAACTAAAGATGAAACAGTATTTTGTTTATTGTATACGATATCATTAAGTTCAACGTTATGACTAATCATTAAGAAAGTGTTACCAATTTGTTAATTTATAAGAAAGGTTTAATAGTTTAATAATAAATCGGTATTTCTTTGATTTATTTTATCAAAGAAACAAGGTATGTAGAGATATATAAGTATTATAAAAGATACAGATATAGAATTTATCATACATATTCATATACATATATAATTATTTATTCGTTATACATATATATAACGAATATTAAATAGAACTTAATTTAGAAATTTAAATTTTCGTTGCGATAGATTAATATAAATCGCTGTTTTATTAAAATATTTGCTTAATAAAATCATGAAATTTCTTGTAAACAAAAATGTTACTTCGAAGTTTTTAATCAGCAGTTATTATTGACAAAGCGTTAATGATCTTAAACATATAAAATGCATTTATATATTACAATTATATATATTTTTTTAATCGTATTAAGATATTCAGATAATATATTTTTCTCTTTACATCGGGTAAAAATTTTAAAACATTCTTTACCTCGAGATATTATCAATTTACATGAATAAACATTTATATTTTTCTACGTGGACGTTATTAACTACACACTTGCGCATGTGTGCACGTGTGCATATACGTGATTAAAAATACATGGAAGTTCATGTTTGACTTCACATATATTATTTATGTTAGTTTCAACGTTGAACTTGTTTCGTTTTTGTGATTAGTATCACGCCATCATTAATTCCAGCCTCTATGAAAAAGATGTAAGTGACTAGAATTGCAGAATAAATAAGCAACAATGCCACGATGTCCGAATTCCTGTGTCAATCTCTATCTTGCCTGCGCTTTCGATGTGTATATTTACGGGCACTGTAATCATAAAGGCACGAAAGTTATTTCTGTAAAGCTAGTAATTTCTCCACAAAAAATTAAAATTACACCTCTAATAGAATTAAATGCTAATTTTTACGTGTTAATTTTGTGCTTTATTAAATATTTTTATGTTTAACATTTATCAGGCATAAAGTGTAAAAATAGAAAACTTGAATTTAAAAAGTAGATTTTTAAAATAATCTTAAAATTTTTCATTTTTAACGATATCAAAACTTGTTTCTGGAAAAGAAAACATTAGAAAGATTAATTTTAAAGGGATAAAGAAGCTAACATTTTTCAGCTACCTTTTACACATTTGCATAAAATAAATTTAGCACACATATGTTACAAATTTATTAAAAGCTCTTTTCTATTACTCTTATAATCGATGTTATGTAAATCCTTTTACCTCTTTCTATCAGATTCTGATTCGCTGCCTTCGCTGATAATTTTATTTTCAGACAGCTCTTCGCTGGAAGACTCATTCTCACTATTAAACTTTTGATTGGAGCTTTTATCGGAATCATCGTCTTTCTTGGGCTTTGTCGACTTTCTCTCGCTTTTCTCAGATTTTCTATTCCCTCTTCTTTTATGCCTCTCGTCAGACGTGCTACGTCTAGTATCCTCTCTACGTGACTTTCTCTTTCCTTCATGTTCATAACGCGACTTGTCGTGTTTATTAGAGTTACGAGAGCTCGACGTCGAGTATCCAGTGTCCTGGCGATTTTTTCTGGAATAATTCGTTCGATATGTACATAATATAAATGAAATATCTATATAATATTTTTGTAGAAACAATTTTGACAAATGGATATTCCGGCAAAGTAAATTCTTTCCTTTTTTTGTAACTTAATTGTTTTTCCACACGAAAGTAGCTTATAAATATTTAAAATATACGAACCGTTTGGAACGAGCGATATTTTTCGGGGACGAATCGAACTTGTCGATATCTTCACTTGAGTCTTCGGTCTCACTATAATTTGCTTCTACGTCCTTATCACGTCGATTCTTATGTCTATTATTATCCCGCGAACTTTTCATTCTTACATCTTTGTACATGTCACCTCGTGAAATAATACTGATATGCGACACATCCCTTTTGCTGTATTTCTTATTCCGTTTACTCCTGCTCTCAGTTTGTACCACGTAAAGTCGGTACAGTTGCAACAGTATCACTAATGTATTCTTGCACGTAAAGAATATATTCATATAACTAACTATCTGATAATGAATTATCAATATCAAACGAAATGCCAGGAACGGTCCGTCCTGCAAAATATACACGCACGTTACATGTGTTTGTTAAGTGAAATTAATTCTAAGACTTGCGAAGAATAGAGAGAGATTATTTTTACAGATTCACCGTGATCGATCGTGATTTATCATAAGTATGTTTATCGTAAAGTATTTTAAAGAAATTTTAACAACTGATTAAGGTGTCAATACAAAAAATTAATTAAGAAAAATGACAGATGTTACAAAACATTTTATAGCTTTGAACAGTCACGTGACATGTATTGCTGAAGATGCTTCACGAGTCAGACAGCGTGAATAGTTGATATCCCAGGAAAGATGTACAACATACATATCAGATATGTCTTTGAGATATTTCTTTTATATTATTCATCGACGTACTTGAAGAATCATGTTCAGAGCGATTCCCCATACGTCGATGCTGCAGCAACTGGTTTCCGTTCGTACTTTCTTCCTGGCAACGCCGGACGACAATCGGGACTTCCTCGACTTGGTGGCAGTCAGCACAACCGTGAACTGCATCAGGGACCATGCCCAAATACCCAAAGTCAGGTATACGAGCACGGGCTCCCTTGCTATCCTATCTTCCTTGAAGGAATCGAAGAATTCGATGATGTCAGCCGCGGTACCGATGTAGACTAACAATAGCTGGCTTAATTGATCCCGGGTCAAATCACCTTTCGGCAACATCCACCGGCCGATTATCAGAACCAGCATTAGGAACTGTTCGATCAGAGTGACCCATGTTTCTGCGGAAATTTGTATATCCGGTAATCGGATATCAACCTGGAACGCATAAAAAGCAAGCTGTTGCGTTAATCAGTTTTAATAAATCTATCGCTGCTAATTAACTATTATTTTTTTATTGTAAAACACACTTGCATAGAGAAATCATAAAAAATTGCCATCTCTAAAGGAAAGTAATATTCAAAAGAATGCAATCGCAAAATAGTAGACTATAAACAGCGAGAGATTTTGTTCAATCATTTCTTCCAGCGTGCACGTGTGTTGCTTGTGGGTATATTACAAAAAAATGTATATTTATTTTTTATAAAAAAAATATAACATGAAAACTGATACGCACGCCCAAAGCTTCTTCCAGATGTTTCAAGTCACTTGCTGCGAGATTGGATAAATCGAAACTCTCGGATATATTGATGTTCGATCCACGAGATTTCAGTCTTCTGTCTACTTTGTCCAGTTCTAACAACCAGATTGCTGGCACCACGCTACTAAGATATAAAAATACAGACGGGCAAAACCTAGAAATAAAACAATTGTAGTAAATAATAAACTCATATGCATTACGTATATTTATTTCAGATTGCATTAGCGATTAAAAGTGAAAGTACAAAACTATTTCTGTACGTACAGTATAGCACATCTCATGTTATCGATATTCTTTTTATCTTATGGTTTAATTTTAAATCTTACATTGTGCTAATTCTCTTAAGTCAGTATATTGTTTATTTCTTTTATTATTATTTATAAACAATATTATTTATCGTTCGCATTCTATTATTTGTGTAATGCTGATTTTTGCATATTAGAATTTTTGAGGGCAAGTGTGTGTACCGCGACGGTGTACTGCGCTACATCTAATTCGATTGATCGATGAGTCAGGTAAACGGAATCGGGTCACGAGTTCCCTTTTTCGCAGATGTCAATAATTTTTGATACGACCGCTCGCGTCCCGAACAAAGTGGATTCTAACTTCTCGGCTCGTGTTACTAATGCTTCAATTTCCGTCTGTCAAACTGAGACACGGTTTCACAACATACACGCCCTTTCCGAGGGATCCCTTTATGCTAAATCTTTGCAATGACAATACTGTATCCAATGCAATATTAAAGCTAAGTATAGGAATGTTTTCTGTACAACTAATAACTATTAGAGATCAAATAATAGTCAGATAACAATAAGAGAGAGATAATAAGTAAACTTTACGCTTGCTTTTGCATTTATATACAATTACATGTATATATTTTTTGTATAAGACTTTATATATTGTTTATTAGTTACTGCTGAAATAATCCACAATTGTAAATTATAAATAGCTAATGAATTTTCAAACTTTAAATCTTTATAAATAAAAATGTTGCTTTAAAATTTACTTAAAATTATAATTCAAAAAATTATATTACTTATTTTATCTCCTATATTTATATTTATAAATGGAATAAATTAAAGTAAAAAAATCAAGCTATATTTTGATTTTTAACTTTAATATTATTTTGGACGGTCAGACAAATTGAATCTTTCTTGTTTTCATCATTTTTACATAATACAAATTCCTTGAAAGCATAATAACGTTTGCAACAGTTGACATACCATTTCCATTCTTGATTTTCCTTTATAGTGAGCGTGAAAATACCCTCGAAAAACAGCAACAAGATAGGGCAGCTCAGATACCAGAAATACGGATTTTTCTTGAACGTTGTCACCTGCCAGATAGCGATGAATCCGTGCGATGCAAATACCAAGCGCGTTATTATTGCCTTAACAGTTGCTAAGAACTTTGCCATAGTCGATAATTACGGATCTTGTGATGTGTGCGTATTTTTTTCGACAAATAAATTAAATGATGCCGTGATCTCTCACGTTGTTCACTTTAAATATATAAACATGCACATTTTAAATAACTGCCTCTGAAATTTGTTTCACACACTTTTATACTTAAAAAGAAGATACAATATTTGTTACTAAATAATATTTCAAACATATGAGAAAGTAATCGGGAAAGGCACGACGTTCGAAGCACAGTTCTCCAAAGAACGATATAAACTGCCTAACTCTTGAGCGAGTCGCACATGCGCCCGTTGGATCATCCGGATTAGAAGACACAATCTGCCCCATAAATCTTTTTTCGTCGTGTGTGCGCGCGTGATTTTAGGTCACATTAAAAAATTCTACGTAAGATTTTATAAACAACGTTTTGTATCATCATAATTGTCGACAGGGCAATGCACCCGGGGGGAAAAGCCATATATATACAATTAGATAAAATTGTATATATGGCTTTTTTTCCCGGGCAATTATTAAACATGTAAGTTATAATAAATCAGTATTCGTACACTGAAAAAAAATCTGATAGATTCAACCAGTCGTCTGGTAGAAAATGGACGAATCAGAATTCTTTTAGGATTTACCATGAAAGATATTTCACAACCAGAAGCTTGCTAGACTTCACTACACATCTGGTAAATCCTAAAGGAATTCTGATTCGTCCATTTTCTAAAAGACGACTGGTTGAATCTATCAGATTTTTTTTCAGTGTATGGTTTATTTCAACATTGATACCATATAACGTACAGATATAGATATTGTAAAAGATACAGATATTATGGAAATAAGATACAGATATTATAGACAGTTATCATAGAGTATGTATACATATATGTACGTATATAATTACAAAAATTAAACTAAAACTGAATATACGCCAGGAATTTCAAGATTCAGAATTCATAGTTTCGTATCTATAAGTTTTTCGTATAGATTAAACATGAGAGTAATTTTTTCTGTTGCATTTATAATAAATTTTCTGTTAATTCGCTTCAATAGCTTATCTACGAGTATTTCCATTAAATGCTGATTTATTTCCTTCATTGATTTTATTTTTATTCAGAAGACTCCTCGGTAGGAGTACTATTTTCATTATCCAACTCTTGACTGCAGATGTTATCCGAATCATCGTTGTTTTTAGTGCTTGTCGATTTCATCTCGTTTTTCTGGGAAGATGTTTCGTCCACTATTTTGCTATGTCCTTTATCAGAAGTATCATATCTAGTTTTCATTCTGAGCGATAACTTTTTCTTTCCACCCCGATACAATTTGTCGTGATTGCTAGAATGTTGAGGCTTGCCTGTTGAATATCCAGAGTCACCATAACGATTTTTTCTAGAATAATAAATTTAATATACATAAAATACCAATATCTGTATAATATTTATGTAAAATAAATTACGTTCATCTTTTTAACTTTCCATTTTATTAAACAAAATTTATATTAGTAAATTTTTAACAACTATTTTTATAAATTAATATTAATTTTTCCTGTGAAAAAGGAATTGCTTGTATAAAATAGAAAAGTTTTATAAAATTTAGGTATTTAACTTAAAATTTCAAAACATTAAAATTTACACCTCAGCGATATTTTACAATTCTTATAAAAAATTAATACTGTTAATTTTCCTCTGTGTAATAAAAGGGAGAGAGAGGGGGAGGGGGCAGAGGATATGTAAAACATAAGAAAAATATAATTTTATTCACCTCGGATGGAATAGGAAGAAACGAAATTATTAATTCTGATACCTTAATTAGCTATTTGTAAATTATTATAAAATGGGATTAACTCCATTTAAAACGTAAAAATAAATACAAGCAATAACAAAAGGTTTCGAAAAAATGCTTTTACGTAAATAATTCTTATAGTAATTTTAAGAAATGGATATTCTGTGCCTCACAAAATAATTCTTTCTTGTAATTTAATTATTTTTCACCTACAAGTAGTTCAAAAATAGTTAAAATATGCGAACCGTTTAGAAGGAACGACATTTTTGGGGAGAGAATTGATCTTATCTTCATTCAAATCTCCGATCGCACTATTATTTGCTCCTACATCCTTAACACGTTGATTTTTCGGCCTGTTGATATATCTCACATTTCTCATTCTTATATCTCTGTACATATCACCTTGAGAAATAATACTGATATTCGACACATCCATTTTGCTACATTGCTTATTCAGGTTTCTCTTCTCCATGTATAGTACATAATAATGGCACAATTGTTGCAATATCACTATTACGTTCTTTAACGTATACATTATAGTCATATTGCTAACAAAACCGAAATTTGTTATCATTATTGTACGAAATACCAGGAACGGTCCATCCTGCAATACATTAATGTAGACACGTTAAATATATTTATTAAATCAAATCAATTGTAAGACTTCTGAAGAATAGAAAAAAAGATTTTTAGATTTGCCGTAATCTACTATATACCCTAGTAGCACAATATATCGGCGCAATATTGGGAAATAATGTAAATCTATGTATTCCCAATTGGTCCAATATTGTAAGATGGACGCCTTTTCTTATTTAGTCCATCCAATATGTTCGTTTAGAAATGTTGGTCTAATATTAATGCAATATTAGACCAATATTGTTATTACATTGTTGTTACATTGGCATGTTCAATATTGGCCAATGAACTTGCAATATAAATCTAATATATCTAATTATTATCGTGCAATATTTACATTTATTTCATGACCAATATTGGCTTTGCGTTGGACAATATCGGCCAATGAATTTCTAATATAACCAACATTAGACCAATATTTAGCTTATGTTTAGCCAATGCACTGTGCTACTAGGGATAGTTATGTTTTTCGTAACTTTATCGAAACTATTTTAAGCATTTAATTAAAGAAATTGTTACAATTGGTTATTAAAGTATTAATAAAAAAAGTTGCTGTGAAGAAATAAGAGATATTATACAACAATGTTTTGTTTAGTTTGAACTGTCGCTACGTTACTTTCATTTATTACTGAAGATGCTTCACGAACCAGACAACGTGAATAATTGAAAGATATCCAAAAAATGTATTTAGTACAACTATCTCCGATGCTTTCACGTGTATTGTTCGTGCACATACTTGAAAAATTATATTTTTGTTTCCCAGAAAGAGTCTTCGTAAATCGATGCTGCTTTCATTGGTTTCCGTTTGAACTTTTTCCCTGGCAGTATTACCGGACAACAATCGAGATTTCTTCGACTTGGTGACTGTCGGCGCAAGTGTGAACTGCACCAAGGACCATATACACATGATATGTGCGAGAGGCATTATCGTATATCCGAAAAACATTATTATTCTTTCGGTGGCGAGAGAAAAGACATTCATGATTTCAGCTGCGGTACCAATGTAAAGTAACAGCAGCTGGCTTAATTGATCTCGAGTCAAATCACTGTTCAACATCCATTGATTGATTACCAGATTCAGCATCAAGAATTGGGTGTGAATATAAGAACCAATTATATCGTTCAATTCTATGTCTGCATGTTCTAAATAATCGCGGGTATCCTGTTGAATAGAATAGAACAATCCTTTATGTTAGTTAATAAATTTTAATAAAATAATTACTACGGTTTTTAATAAATTTACTGTTGTTCTTTAAGTAAAACACATTCAGGGATTAAGTCACTGAAAATTACCATCTTTAAAGGAATATATTATTTGAAAAAATGATTCAGATAAATACTATTAGATTTTTAAGAGACAAAGAAATGCTAATTTTTTTAGTAATCTCTCATTACAGTAGCTTCTAATGTAAATAGAAGACTAACTTAACAATATTATGATAAATAAAAGAAATATGTTAGAAAATGCTTAGAACATGCTTAGGATGTCAGGTGATACATTTAAGCATTTAGAACTCCTGGCCCCTCGCAGGTTTATGCACAGGTGCATAAATTTCGTATCACATGCATTTTATGGCTATTGATCAGGGCTATTTATTGCTGAAGAAAATGAATAATTTTCGAAAAAGTTTATGAGTATACCAAAATGATCTGAAATGCTTTCCATCTTTCGATTTGAAAATAAAAATGATAAGAATTCTCAGCGTGTCATGTCTCACTTCTAAGAAAATTAAACAAGAACAACTGCAGCGAGGGACTAGAAGCTTTAATGTAATAATATAATTTTATGGCATAAAATGTGTGATATCCGACAAAGTATCGATTTTCTAATTTTTTTCTTATACTTTTATACAGAAAATAATGAGAAAAATTGACTTATGCTTAATAAAATATACGATTCCTTTTAGAAAAAAAGTTGAATCTTGCAAGTAAATCGGTGTATTGTTCGAAAAAATACAATTACAAGATGGAACATTATACTAAACATTGAATGATTTAGTTCAACAAGTTTTTCTACACGCGTGTGTTTATTATGTATATACACATATGTATATTAAAAAATAATATATATTTTATCAAGTTTCATAAACAGCATATAATGTTAAAAATAATACGCACGACATCAAAGCAATTAGCACGAATTATATAATATAATATAATCCGCATATTAGGTGACGGATTATTTGGATTTATCAAGTCACACAAGTCCTGCCGTCGTTCTGCTTCCCTTCTACAGCTTTCGCTTTTATTTTCAATACTGAATGCTTTCATCCCTTCTAAGTACCAGATTGTAGGCAGCACGCTAAGAAGATATAAAATTACAGACGGCTGAAACCTAGAAATATAATAATTGTAATAAATAAGAAACTCTTATGCATTACCATTTACTACAGGTGATTTAATGATTAAAAATAAATCACTAAAATATTTGTGTATATATCACACCATGGTATCAATATTTCCTCTTTCTTATGTTTCACATTTTTTAATCTTATATTATTTTTTATAATATATTATTATATTGTTAATCTCCTTATTATTTATTGTTTACATTTGTCTTCGTTATTATTGTACATAATACTGTTTTTTACATAGGGCTTTTCAAAGGCAAATATGTACTGCTTAGGCATTCTGGGCTAAATTTAATTCAATTGATCAACGAGCCAAGTAAACGAGATTAGATCACGGTTTTTTTAACAGATATGATTTTCAATGATTTTTAGTAGGACCACTTGCGCCCCAAACAAAGTGGATTACTCGGCTCGTGTTAATTGTTAATGTTTCAATTTGTACCTATCACACACTGAGATATATCTCACGATATACACGCCCTTTACGCTAGTCTTTCGCCATAATATAATAATATTGTACCTAACGCAATATTAGTAACGTTTCCTATACAATTAATAACCGTTAGAAATAAAAAGGTAATGTAATGACATTACAGTAAAAGAGGAGTTAGTAATATAATCTTAATATTAAATATTTTGTTTTTACAGTCGCAAAAGCATACATTTGCATGCATTCAGTCATTTATTATAAGATATTAATAAATCTTTCAAAACAATTATTATAAAATTACTTAAACAATAAATTATCTAAAGTAAATTCAGTAAAGTAATTAACTGAAGTAATGTATTTTAAAAAATAAAAATAATTAACTAACGTATAGTATCTTTGAAGACAATTATTACAAAGTACCTTTAGTAATTAACTAAAGTAAAATAACTAAAGTACTGATCTAAAAATAAATAAAAGTACTATCTTTTAAAACAATTATTACAAAGCAATTTAAGTAATTAATTAACTAAGGTGTTTTAACTTCAGTAAGTTAACTATAGTAATTAACTAATTGAAAATTAACTAATTTAACTAATTTGAAAACTAATGATATTAAATATACTTCAAGAACTTACATTTTATAATTTTATAATTTTTTATCTAAATTACTTGATGTAGCAATATTTGCTAAAACATATCATTGTTGTCTAAACTTTTTATCCCATTTGTAATTCATAAAATTGTTGTAAATGTTTATAGGTATTTTATCTATAAATCTACTATTCAGAATTAATTAACAATTGTAATAGTTTATGATTGAGAATTAAATATAAGAATGTAAAGGTATAGTGACTTGGTATATTTTATATATTTTAATATGAATAAACCATATATTAAGTCCAGTATAAAGTTTGTATTCCTATAGAAATAATTCATAATTGTAAATTATGAATAACTATTTGATTTTAATACTTTATAAATTTTGTTATAAAATTTATTTAAAATTATAATTTAATAAATTATATTTTTCATTTTTAGTTCCCTGTATGTATTTACACTTACAAATACAATATAATTATTGTAGTTAGAAAATCGAAATCCCGACTCGCCCTTTTATATTTTTTTTGAAAGTCATAGAAATTGAATCTTTCTTAATTTCATCATTTTTAATTAAAAATATGTTTTCTTGAGAGCAGAACAATATTTGCAATAGTTGACATACATACCATTTCCATGCTTGACTTTTCTTTATTTTGTAGGTGTAAATACCCTCGAAGAGCAGCAACAAGTTAGTAGCAAAGCTCAAGTACCAGGGATATTTGAACAGATTAACCGGAATTATAAAGCCGGCGCTATAACTTGGCCAGTGCCATGTAATAACGTAACCGTGAAATAGGAATACCAAGCGTATTATTATGCCCTTAATAGTTGCTGACTTTACCATTATGGCTAATTACAGTTCTTCTTATGATTCGTGCTTATTTTTTCAATAAGTAAGGTAAACGAAGCTGTGATCCCTCATGTTGCTCACGTTAAAAATAGCACACATTCGCAACATCGTTGCTGAAATTTGTTTCACACATTTTTATACTTGAGAAGAAAGCCAAAACGTAATGGACTTTAGATAAATAAAGCTTTAAGTATACGAGGAAGAAATTGAAGGAGACGAAACACCCGAAGCACAGTTCTCCAAAGGACAGTATAAGCCATCTACCTCTTTCGCGATGCGCACATGCGACCATTGAATTATCCAGATTAGAAGATACGGTCTTTTTCATTCTTTTAATTCTGGTCGCGTGTGCGAGACATTTAAGATTATATTGAAAAATTCTATTATACACTTAAATTCTATTAAAATTACCCATTTCATATTATTAATTGCAAAAGAATCTGCAAAACCTGCACAATACTGTAGAAAACATGATGTGTTTATCGAAAAGTTACCATTTTTGTGTTTTATGTAACCATGCTTTCCTGTAACTATTTTGTTAAAAATTTTAAGACAAGGTATTTATAATTGATATTGTTGAGACTTTAAATGTCTTTAAAGGGGTAAATGTGCATAAAAAGACCCCACCTTCCGATGACCTTGATCTTGACATATGTTGT